GGTATAATGGTTACATTTTTGGATCTCTTACGTGACCACCGGAAAGTCATTCATACTCTGGTTCATGTTTGATGTTATATGTTCATGGATACTGCCATTTCTCAGTATGAATTTAGCTTCTGGAATGATATTTGTAGATTCTGGAATTGTCTTCGTTGGTGATGATGTTGAGCTTCAGTTAGAACGGTTTAGGCAGAACTATTATATTGATGATTGATACATGATGCTTCGACCTAGCTGCATCTGTGGTTGATCTTCTTGTGTTTTGCCGTGTTAGCGAGAAAGCTTCTTCATTGGAAATGGTCTCAACATTACCAACCATTCTTGAAGTTTGCTATGACTTTCTACTTCTAATCGCCATGGATTATGACATTGTTGTCCAGTTTTTGCTGAACTTTGGAGGATTGCAAGTGATAGCTCCTCCTATAGCTGGTTTTGTTTCCATGCCATTGTGATTGATGTACAGACTCTGCAATTCTTTATATAATCATCACTTGTTCACGACAAGCTTTCTTATGTAAGTGGGATTCACAGAACGGACAAGCCGACTCCATTGTTTACAATTTCGGATCACATTCTGGTGGTACTATGAAATTAAGAACAATTGGTTCCTCTTTGGATCATTGCTATGGCCTCTATAAAATCATCATCCTCAAGATTTTAGTAGCAGAATTATTTTGTGGACATGGTTTTGGTAAGAGAATGTTTGGGTTAAAAGTGACGATGCCCTTTACTTGTCTACGGCTTGCTACTCCTATGGCTGGTTTGTGATGTTACTTGGCTACAAACTCATGGAGCTTTCTACATGGAAGAAAATGAGACTGTTGCTTTCTCATAAAAGTCTTTTTGAGCACATAAATCTTCAAATCCAAGATGTCATACTTCCATCTTGCGGGGGCGTATTAGAGATTATATCTCTCCGGTTTAGTATTGAATATAGTGCGGTTATCTTTGGTTATCTATCATGTTTATAGTAGGTTATCTCTCTTAGTATTTAAGCTTTCTCTGTATCATATTTTACATTTAATGAAGGTTTCACGATTGTTGATATGGTATCCCAACCTTCATTCACTTCTTCCGCTTAATTCGATTCTCTGATTTCATTTTTGTTCTTTTTCAATTCGTCACTCGATTTTCTTTGAGATTTTGGTCCTCCGTTTGATTTCTTATCGCTTGATCGGTTTATATCTCCGACTAATTGATTTTTCCGATCAATCCATCGTCTTCTCCGATCTGTTTCTTCGTTTTTTTTGTTCTTCGATCTGTTTCTTCACCGGCGAAATCTTAATCTTGTTTCGATTCCGGTTGTTATTTTTTTTTTCTTTAATCAATTTCTGTTTCCGATCAAAGTTGATCGTGTTCATCTTCTTTCCGATCATAATTGATCGTGTTATCATCGATCTTGATCATTAATCTTCGATCTTGATCTGTTTTCTTCCGATCGTTTCATCAAAATCGATCGTGATTCTGTTATATCGTTTTCATTGCTTCGTCTACATTCCGATCAAGTTGATCGCATTGTCACATTCGACTATTTTTTCTGGATCAGATTGATCTTTTATCATACGATTGATTCATCAATATTGATCGTGATTATCTTCGAATCGAGCTCTGTTTCGTCAAAAGCGAGCTTCGTATATCTCAATTTGAGCTTCAATTGCTCAATTTCAGTTTCTCTTATTCGATTTGACTATCTCAGCTTCTAGATTGAGCTTGATTTCATCAGTTTCAGTCGATCTGCGTTTGAGATTTGGTATAATGGTGATATCTTCTCAGCTGATGCTCATTCCAGCTCATGATTCTGCTAAATCAACATGATTTGGTATAATGGTTACATTTTTGGATCTCTTACGTGACCACCGGAAAGTCATTCATACTCTGGTTCATGTTTGATGTTATATGTTCATGGATACTGCCATTTCTCAGTATGAATTTAGCTTCTGGAATGATATTTGTAGATTCTGGAATTGTCTTCGTTGGTGATGATGTTGAGCTTCAGTTAGAACGGTTTAGGCAGAACTATTATATTGATGATTGATACATGATGCTTCGACCTAGCTGCATCTGTGGTTGATCTTCTTGTGTTTTGCCGTGTTAGCGAGAAAGCTTCTTCATTGGAAATGGTCTCAACATTACCAACCATTCTTGAAGTTTGCTATGACTTTCTACTTCTAATCGCCATGGATTATGACATTGTTGTCCAGTTTTTGCTGAACTTTGGAGGATTGCAAGTGATAGCTCCTCCTATAGCTGGTTTTGTTTCCATGCCATTGTGATTGATGTACAGACTCTGCAATTCTTTATATAATCATCACTTGTTCACGACAAGCTTTCTTATGTAAGTGGGATTCACAGAACGGACAAGCCGACTCCATTGTTTACAATTTCGGATCACATTCTGGTGGTACTATGAAATTAAGAACAATTGGTTCCTCTTTGGATCATTGCTATGGCCTCTATAAAATCATCATCCTCAAGATTTTAGTAGCAGAATTATTTTGTGGACATGGTTTTGGTAAGAGAATGTTTGGGTTAAAAGTGACGATGCCCTTTACTTGTCTACGGCTTGCTACTCCTATGGCTGGTTTGTGATGTTACTTGGCTACAAACTCATGGAGACTTCAAGGTTCTTTGAGCAGTATTCTTCACTTGTGATACTTAACAGTTTTATCAAGCTCATCTTGGATTCAAGCCACTCACTGCAAATAAGATCTCTCAAGTTCTCATGGCTATTGAAGAAGAGGACGACATGTGATTCATTTCTCTATAATCCAGTTTATGAAGGTGTCAAGTCTTTCTACATGGAAGAAAATGAGACTGTTGCTTTCTCATAAAAGTCTTTTTGAGCACATAAATCTTCAAATCCAAGATGTCATACTTCCATCTTGCGGGGGCGTATTAGAGATTATATCTCTCCGGTTTAGTATTGAATATAGTGCGGTTATCTTTGGTTATCTATCATGTTTATAGTAGGTTATCTCTCTTAGTATTTAAGCTTTCTCTGTATCATATTTTACATTTAATGAAGGTTTCACGATTGTTGATATGGTATCCCAACCTTCATTCACTTCTTCCGCTTAATTCGATTCTCTGATTTCATTGTTGTTCTTTTTCAATTCGTCACTCGATTTTCTTTGAGATTTTGGTCCTCCGTTTGATTTCTTATCGCTTGATCGGTTTATATCTCCGACTAATTGATTTTTCCGATCAATCCATCGTCTTCTCCGATCTGTTTCTTCGTTTTTTTTGTTCTTCGATCTGTTTCTTCACCGGCGAAATCTTAATCTTGTTTCGATTCCGGTTGTTATTTTTTTTTTCTTTAATCAATTTCTGTTTCCGATCAAAGTTGATCGTGTTCATCTTCTTTCCGATCATAATTGATCGTGTTATCATCGATCTTGATCATTAATCTTCGATCTTGATCTGTTTTCTTCCGATCGTTTCATCAAAATCGATCGTGATTCTGTTATATCGTTTTCATTGCTTCGTCTACATTCCGATCAAGTTGATCGCATTGTCACATTCGACTATTTTTTCTGGATCAGATTGATCTTTTATCATACGATTGATTCATCAATATTGATCGTGATTATCTTCGAATCGAGCTCTGTTTCGTCAAAAGCGAGCTTCGTATATCTCAATTTGAGCTTCAATTGCTCAATTTCAGTTTCTCTTATTCGATTTGACTATCTCAGCTTCTAGATTGAGCTTGATTTCATCAGTTTCAGTCGATCTGCGTTTGAGATTTGGTATAATGGTGATATCTTCTCAGCTGATGCTCATTCCAGCTCATGATTCTGCTAAATCAACATGATTTGGTATAATGGTTACATTTTTGGATCTCTTACGTGACCACCGGAAAGTCATTCATACTCTGGTTCATGTTTGATGTTATATGTTCATGGATACTGCCATTTCTCAGTATGAATTTAGCTTCTGGAATGATATTTGTAGATTCTGGAATTGTCTTCGTTGGTGATGATGTTGAGCTTCAGTTAGAACGGTTTAGGCAGAACTATTATATTGATGATTGATACATGATGCTTCGACCTAGCTGCATCTGTGGTTGATCTTCTTGTGTTTTGCCGTGTTAGCGAGAAAGCTTCTTCATTGGAAATGGTCTCAACATTACCAACCATTCTTGAAGTTTGCTATGACTTTCTACTTCTAATCGCCATGGATTATGACATTGTTGTCCAGTTTTTGCTGAACTTTGGAGGATTGCAAGTGATAGCTCCTCCTATAGCTGGTTTTGTTTCCATGCCATTGTGATTGATGTACAGACTCTGCAATTCTTTATATAATCATCACTTGTTCACGACAAGCTTTCTTATGTAAGTGGGATTCACAGAACGGACAAGCCGACTCCATTGTTTACAATTTCGGATCACATTCTGGTGGTACTATGAAATTAAGAACTATTGGTTCCTCTTTGGATCATTGCTATGGCCTCTATAAAATCATCATCCTCAAGATTTTAGTAGCAGAATTATTTTGTGGACATGGTTTTGGTAAGAGAATGTTTGGGTTAAAAGTGACGATGCCCTTTACTTGTCTACGGCTTGCTACTCCTATGGCTGGTTTGTGATGTTACTTGGCTACAAACTCATGGAGCTTTCTACATGGAAGAAAATGAGACTGTTGCTTTCTCATAAAAGTCTTTTTGAGCACATAAATCTTCAAATCCAAGATGTCATACTTCCATCTTGCGGGGGCGTATTAGAGATTATATCTCTCCGGTTTAGTATTGAATATAGTGCGGTTATCTTTGGTTATCTATCATGTTTATAGTAGGTTATCTCTCTTAGTATTTAAGCTTTCTCTGTATCATATTTTACATTTAATGAAGGTTTCACGATTGTTGATATGGAGTGTAATTGAAAATAAATGACCCCGACCAATATGTAGGGTCTTCATGAGGGATTTCTATGTGATATTCATCGTCCTCTCCAATTATGGTTATTATGTAATGCATGGTCTCATAAGAACATTTTCGCACATCACAAAACTGAGAGCTGTTTTTCTCTAACAACTGATAGAACCGTATAACACGATTTCGGATTTGGTGGAAGACACAAACGTTTAAATCTCTCCCTTGTAAAATCAAAACTGTGGAAGAACTTTTCACTAAGATCTAAAGTAAGCCAGTAAGTATTTCCCTTCAAAGACACACAAGAATTTGTTTGTAAATAGAAATCGAGATCGACTTTATCAAAAACTCTCCATGAATCAGAGCTAAACTCATAGATTTCTAACCCAACAACATGGTGGGTTGGTTCATAACAATTCCACCACCTCAAGATTTTGTAGCTATGACAAGATTTGTTATTTTGGTATCCTAGAGCAAACATAGTTATTCCCTTGTAATCAGTTCTGAGTGGGATCCACCTATTTTCTCCCAAACACGGGTTCCAAACCACGAGTCTATCATCCTTGGTGATGCATAACAATAAACCATCGCAGTGAAAAACTCGGGCTATCTTGACTTGTTTAGAATTATAATGGAAATCTTTTAAGCTAAGTGAACCCTTTAACCCTCTGTTTTTAAATAAAGCGTTCCATTGCTTGCAAGTAGATCGTAACCGTTTCAGAGATGTAGCCGGGACCCTTGAGAGTATTTCCTCTACCAAATCCGCGGGAAGATCGGACATCATCATTGTTTCTCTTGTGAAAGAAGAAAGCGACTCATGTAAGTATAAATTAGGGTTTTGAGTTTTTTTTTCACGTTTACCCCGAGAACCAATCTTATCTTATAAATTAGGGTTTTGATTTTTTTTTTTTTGTTTTTCATTCCAATTTACTTTAAAAAGGGAAAAGAAGCAGCCGACCAAAAAAAAAAAAAAGACAAGAACAAAGCTTATAAGAATGCATTTTCTTTTGCTAACAATCAGTTTAACGAATAAAACTTCTGCGATTCTGCTTCTTCATTCCGCAGCCTTCCTTCTTCTTTTCTTCTTATTCTTATGCTGTTGAGAACACGAATGACTCGGTGTTTATGACTAAGTCGGCCTTGAACTCGGTGGTTAAGATCAACTCAATTTCTAGCTAGCCTGAGTGCCTGAAATTCTTTATCCACAACAAAGATCCATATTAGGAACACCACGTTGGTCTTTTCGACATCTTATTTGTAAATTTTAGCTAGTCGTTTATGTAATTTCGAGCACCGAAAGTTTTATCTTTTCTAACAATAGAAAGATCATTGACGAGAATAGCAAAAACCTTCTCACCCGTTTCTCATTATCTGGAAAAACAAACTAACAGCTAACCGCAAATCATGAAACTACATTTTATCAACACTTTACTTCCAATCATGCTGGTCTATGAAACGCAAGAAAATAAAGGAATCAATAAAATAACAAGTGATGTACAGAAAAGCTAAAATAAACGAACAGTTCATTGATTTAATCAAACGACATTGTCTACAAAAACATAACCATAGGAAACAAAGACGAGCTACAACCTTACTTCTTTTTTTTTTTTTTATCAATTATTTCCCTTCTCTTCTTTTGCCTCTACCTTGCTATATTTGAACCAAACTTGGAACATAATTGAAGATGATTGGCCACCGACGAGACAAATATTTATCATCCTCAGCACTAAGGGATTCGTCATTAGGAATTTCTGTATAATACTCATCGTCCTCACCAATAATGTTTACCGTATACATCCTATTAATCCTATTGTAATGATCAGAACTTACAATACAACACACAACCACTTTCTTCTCCTCATCAATCAAAGAACTCGAGCAAATATGATAAGTATAAGGATCTTGAATTTCTGAATCCACTATAAAAGATTTGCTCCACAACACCTCGGCTTCAGTATCAATATTAGTGGTAATCCATATCTCCATCTTTGATGTTCTATTATTTTCATATAAAAGTGAGAGTTGTTCTTCTCTAACAACTGATAGAACTACCGTACCATCGATCCATGTTGGCGGAGGCAAACATTTAAATCTCTCTGTCTTAAAATCAAAAGGGAATAAGAAATCTTCACTATTATAATTAAGCCAGTAAGTATTTCCCTTCAAAGACACACCAGTATCAGAATCGAAGTAGGTGTATAATAAAGCGACGTTACTTAGAGGAACCCTCCATGAATTAGAACTAAACTCATAGATTTCTAACCCAAGACCTTCAATGCTAGGTATTTCCCAAGGCCTCAAGATTTTGTAGGTACGACAAGATTTGTTATCTACGTATCCTAGAGCATAGGTAAAGTCGCTCTTATAATCAGATTTGAGTTGGATCCACCTGGTTACCCCAAAATACGGATTCCAAACCACGAGTCTATCTTCCTTGGTGGTGCATAACAACAAACCATCGCAATGAAAAACTCTAGCTATATTAACTTGTTCTAAATTAGAATGTGAATCCTTTAGGCTAAGTGCACTCTTAAACTCTATAGATGGAGCAGAAACGTTGAGATTAACGTTCATTGAACGAACCTTACGATCATCCAACATCAGTACCGCTGACTGCTTTGAAGCTTCGTGAAAGTGCTTTTCGGTGAATCTTCGGTTTTTCTTTATTAAAACGTTCCATAGTTTGCAAGTAGATCTTAACTGTTTGTGAGATGTGGCTGGGACTCTATAGAGTATTTCCTCTAATAAATCCGCAGGGAGATCCGAGATCATCGTTGTTTCTCCAAAGGAAGAAGATGAGAAAGCGATTTGTTCTGTAACCAAAAATTAGGGTTATAAGTTTTTCATCACGTTTGTTGTCCTTGGACCAATCTTTGTAGTGCTGCTGGCTCAAGTTTATTACGGGCCCTAGGGGGTTTTTTTTGGTCGGCCCTTTATACTTGGAATTTTTGGGCTTTTTGCTGTGTTTTACTATTTTGTGTGTAAATTTTTGGTTATGAAAAATTATATCTATGTTAAGAAAGTCAAATATATAAATATATCATGCGCTTCAAATCAAACATTAGGCGCAGCCGTGTGTTGTTTATAATTTTGATGTGGAGCCCATCGTCACTATGCATGCATAGTAATTTATAATTTTCTCTATAAATAGAACGATGAACGTTCGATGTAAAATCACAACTCGCATTACTTCAATTATAAGAGAAGCAATAATCCCTCTCCCTCTCATCTCTTTATTATTCAGTATCCCGATCCTTCTGCGGGTATAATTTTCTCATCATTAAATATTTATATATCCACTATAAAATCAAATACTCTTTTATAACACGTTATCAGCACGAGCACGATCACTCTATGATCGCTGGAAAAAAAAATACGGTATTATACCGGGCGGTATGTCGCCTCGTTAAAAAAAAAATATGAGAAAAAAAAAGAAAAGAGAAAAAAAAGAGAAAAGAAAATTATATAAATAAATAAAAGAAACTATATATGTATATATATGTTACTTCATGCACTCTAATTAATAATTTTCTATCAATGGTTGGCTGAGCCACCTGAAATTTTATTTACTGCTTTAAATATTTATTTCTGTTGTCGGTCGGCTGAGCCGCCTTAATTTTATGCACTGCTTTAAATATTTATTTCTGCTACCGGTCGGCCGAGCCGCCTTTATTTTATGTACTGCTTTAAATATTTATTTCTGCTACCGGTCGGCTGAGCCGCCACATATTTATTTACTGTTTCTATATGAATGACTCTGTGACCATAATATCACCGTGAATTATTTGTTTATATTATGATTATTATACAAGAAGGTTTATTCATCTGTATAAATATTTTCATCTGAATCGATAATTTTTGTTTGATTGATCTCTAATTTTTCAGATTAAATTTTGTTTAAATCTTTTTCTGCCAACGGTCTCAAAGAAAAATTTCAAAAAAAAAAATTCAACTTTTTCCAACGGCTAGGAATAGTATTTTTCAATCTATAAATACATTCATTTTCTCATTCATTTCATCAAAACAAAATTTTTTCATATCTCTAAAAACTCTCTCCGAAAAAAAGAAGAAGAATTTTGAAGTTTTGAAGAATGTTTCGATTACTTTTAATATTTGCTTTTGGAATCATTATTTTGTGTATTTATAATCTTTGCGTTGTAGATTTTACTCCGCAAGAATTTCGTTTGTGTTAAGAAATTCAAATATATCATGCGCTTCAAATCAAACATTAGGCGTAGCCGTGTGTTGTTTATAATTTTGATGTGGAGCCCACCGTCACTATGCATGCATAGTAACTTATAATTTTCTCTATAAATAGAACGATGAACGTTCGATGTAAAATCACAACTCGCATTACTTCAATTATAAGAGAAGCAATAATCCCTCTCCCTCTCATCTCTTTATTATTCAGTATCCCGATCCTTCTGCGGGTATAATTTTCTCATCATTAAATATTTATATATCCACTATAAAATCAAATACTCTTTTATAACACGTTATCAGCACGATCACTCTATGATCGCTGGAAAAAAAATACGGTATTATACCGGGCGGTATGTCGCCTCGTTAAAAAAAAAAATATGAGAAAAAAAAAGAAAAGAGAAAAAAAAAAGAGAAAAGAAAATTAAATAAATAAATAAAAGAAACTATATATGTATATATATGTTACTTCATGCACCCTAATTAATAATTTTCTATCAATGGTTGGCTGAGCCACCTGAAATTTTATTTATTGCTTTAAATATTTATTTCTGTTGTCGGTCGGCTGAGCCGCCTTAATTTTATGCACTGCTTTAAATATTTATTTTTGCTACCGGTCGGCTGAGCCGCCACATATTTATTTATTGTTTCTATGTGAATGACTCTGTGACCATAATATCACCGTGAATTATTTGTTTATATTATGATTATTATACAAGAAGGTTTATTCATCTGTATAAATATTTTCATCTGAATCGATAATTTTTGTTTGATTGATCTCTAATTTTTCAGATTAATTTTTGTTTAAATCTTTTTCCGCCAACGGTCTCAAAGAAAAATTTCAAAAAAATTTCAAAAAAAAAATTCAACTTTTTCCAACGGCTAGGAATAGTATTTTTCAATTTATAAATACATTCATTTTCTCATTCATTTCATCAAAACAAAATTTTTCATATCTCTAAAAGCTCTCTCCGAAAAAAAGAAGAAGAATTTTGAAGTTTTGAAGTTTTGAAGAATGTTTCGATTACTTTTAATATTTGCTTTTGGAATCATTATTTTGTGTATTTATAATCTTTGCGTTGTAGATTTTACTCCGCAAGAATTTCGTTTGAACATTAGTTTACTTGTTTGTACGCTTTTTCTTTTTGTAATCGCTTGCATTATTAATGTAAACGGTTCATTTTAAATATGTTTTAAAATAAATTAAATAAAGATTTCTAATAATATTCCATATTTTTATTTTAGATAACAAATGGCAAACATTGAGAAGCTTAAATTTCTGGCTCTCAAAATTACTGGCGCAAACTACATAGCATGGACCACTGATGTGGAACTATATTTTGAGTCGCAAGAATTATCCGAGACCTTAAAATCAGAAAATTTATCGCCTCCAAAAGATAAGGCAAAGGCGATAATATTTTTGAGAAAGCATCTCGATGAAAATGTGACGCATGACTATGCTCACATAAAAGACCCAGCAGAGCTGTGGCAAGCTTTAAAAGCACGGTTTGACAACCAGAGAGAAATAACTCTCCCTCATGCGTTAGAGGACTGGAAAAACTTGAGGTTCTAGGACTTTGAGAAAGTGGAGGAATATAATTCCGCTATGCTGAGGATAGTATCACAATTAAAGTATTGTGGTAAGCCTATTACTGAAACTGAAATGCTCGAGAAGACTTACCTTACTTTTCATAAAGAACACCGTGTCTTGCAAGAGATGTATAGAAATTGCGGATACAAAAGGTTCTCTGAGTTAATTGTGACTCTCATACTGGCGGAGAAGAATAATGAACTTCTTCTTAAGAACCACAACTCTCGGCCTACGGGGGCCAAAGCATTTCCTGAGGTCAATGCAACGGATGTCAAAAATCCGGAGAGAGGAAGTCAAACCTATCGAGGTCGTGGCCGTCGATTCAATCGTGGACGTGGAAGATCCTTTAACCCACAAAGCAGAAAGTCTTATACATGGGTTCGACCTGATGAAAGTTCAAAAGGAAAAGAATCCCAAGGACGTAACGCTCAAAAGCGTGAAAGCATCTGTTACAGATGTGGATCAAAAGGGCATTGGGCTCATGTATGTCGAACCCCTGAACATCTTTGTAAGTTGTACAAAGAGTCCCAAAAGGGAAAAGGGAAGGAAGTAAATCTTACTGAGCACTTTGAGGGTACATCGTACCTCGAAGCTTCCGACTTTATAAACGATGTCGACGAGACCGCTCATGCGGATAACTGAAATGCTTGTAGTGAGACTACTAGTCTCCAGTAATGCTATTGTATAATTATTATGTATTTCAGTTGTTCTAAAATAAAGTTGTTTCCGAAAAATGAACTGATGTATAATTATTATATGTTTTTAACATCAATAATATTTACTTATATTTATTAATGTTTATGTTAATTACAGAAAAAAAAAATGGATCAAGATTCAAATAAAGCGATAGCAAGGGAAAATATCAAAGAAATTTGTATACCAGATAGTGGAACAACACACACTATTCTGAAACATTAGAGATTTTTCTCTGAATTAAAACCGACAAAAATTATTGTCAATACAATATCGGGTCCTACGGATTTGATTGAAGGAAGTGGCAAAGCAAATTTTAAATTGCCTAATGGAACAAAGTTTTCCATAAATAATGCCTTATATTCTCCGAATTCTAAGAGGAATTTGTTGAGTTTCAAAGACATATACCTTCAAGGATATGAAACTCAGTCTGCAACTGAGGATGGAAAGAAGTATATGTATATAACTTCTAATAAATCTGGAAAAAGACATATCTTGGAAAGATTTCCAGAACTTCCTTCTGGTTTGCATCATACCTATATAGATGCCATAGAGTCAAACCTTGTGATCAAAAGAAATCCAGAAGATTTTGTACTATGGCATAATCGCCTTGGTCACCTAGGCACCACAATGATGCGAAAAATCCCAGAGAGCTCACATGGTCACTCATTGAAAAATCATGAGTTGAAACATGGAAATAAAATGACATGTGCAGCGTGTTCTCTTGGAAAGTTGATCATAAGGCCATCGCCAACCAAAATTGATAAAGAATCACCAAAGTTCCTTGAACGAATTCAAGGCGATATTTGTGGACCGATACATCCACCATGTGGACCATTCCACTATTTTATGGTAATGATTGACGCATCTAGCAGATGGTCACATGTTTGTCTATTGTCATCTCGAAATTTGGCATTTGCGAGATTTATAACTCAGATAATCAAATTAAGAGCTCAGTTCTCTGATTATTCCATTAAGAGGGTTAGACTAGACAACGCTGGTGAATTCACATCCCAAGCATTCAATGATTATTGTATGGTAACAGGAATTGAAGTTGAACATCCTGTAGCTCATGTTCATACACAAAATGGCTTGGCGGAATCATTAATTAAACGTCTGCAATTGATTGCAAGACCATTGATCATGAGATCAAAACTTCCAACCTCTGTATGGGGACATGCCATTTTGCATGCAGAAGCACTTATTCGGATAAGACCAAGTGCATACCATAAATACTCTCCACTAGAGTTAGCATTTGGTCGAGAACCAAATATATCTCATCTAAGAATTTTTGGTTGTGCGGTGTATGTGCCTATAGCACCACCACAACGTACAAAGATGGGACCACAAAGAAGGTTGGGAATATATATTGGATGTGATTCTCCATCAATTATAAGATACCTAGAACCGCAGACTGGTGATGTCTTTACGGCATGATTTGCCGATTGTCACTTTGATGAGAAAGTATTTC